CTTCTCCAAAGCACCCCAAAGATCACAAGTCCAAATGAATATCTCTTTGCAACAAGGGTGAATTTCTGGCTGAGTCAAAGGAGTTAAAGCCGAGGTTTGCCTTAGTAGTAAAGGAAGAAGTGAAGACACTCATTGAGATCCCAGAGAAGATGAAGTCGCTGCTTAAGGAATTTGAAGATTTAGTTCCTAAAGAGTTACCAGAGGGACTCCCTCCCATGAGGGATATACAGCACCACATCGATTTCATTCCAGGTTCAATACTTCCTAATCTCCCTCACTATCGCATGAATCCACAGGAGAAAAAGATCCTACAAGATACCATTAAGGACCTCATTAAGAAAGGTCACGTTCGAGAGAGTATGAGTCCATGTGCAGTGCCGGCCCTGTTGACACCAAAGAAAGATGGGAGTTGGCGGATGTGTGTGGACAGTCGAGCCATTAACAAGATCAAAATTAGCTACAAATTTCTAATTCCTCGGTTAGATGATATGCTAGACCAGTTGGGAGGTGCGAGTATCTTTTTGAAGATCGACTTGAGGAGTGGCTATCATCAGATCCGAATCTAACCCGACAACGAGTGGAAGACTGCTTTCAAAAGCAGTGAGGGTCTCTACGAATGGTTAGTGATGCCTTTTGGGTTATCGAACACTCCAAGCACCTTTATGCATTTGGTGAACCAAATTCTGAAGTCTTTCTTGGGATGATTTGTAGTCATCTACTTTGATGACATTCTCATCTATAGCCGAGATGAACATGAGCATATATTACATCTCCGAGAAGTTTTTCGAGTGCCAAAGAAGAACGAGCTTTACATCAACCTTAAGAAGTGCATGTTCTTGATGACTCAGCTAGTGTTCTTGGGGTTTGTGGTAAGCTCACAAGGGATCCAGGTTGACGAAGATAAAGTCAAAGCAATCAAGGATTGGCCGACTCTGAAAAGTGTTACTGAAGTAAGGAGCTTTCATGGGTTAGCATCTTTTTATCAGTGTTTCATTCGCAACTTCAGTTCTATAGTTACTCCCATGACATTAGCTTGAAGAAGAAGGGTGTTTTCGAGTGGACCGATGAAGCAAATGCAACTTTTGCCCTTATCAAGGAGAAGATTACTACTGCACCTATATTGGCGTTTCCAGATTTCGACAAGCTCTTTGAGCTTGAGTGCGACGCTACTGCACCTATATTGGCGTTTCCAGATTTCGACAAGCTCTTTGAGCTTGAGTGCGACGCGTGTGGTGTAGGTATTGGAGCAGTCTTCTCTCAAGAGAAGCGTCCCATTGCTTTTTTGAGTGAGAAGTTGAATGAAGTTCGGCAGAAGTGGATTACTTATGAGCATGAATTATATGCTATTTATCATTCTTTGAAGACTTGGGAAAATTACCTCATTGCTAATGACTTCGTAATTTACTTCGATCATCAGTCTCTTCAACACTTCAAGAATCAAATGCATATCAACAAAATGCATGGACGTTGGGCTTCGTATTTTGAGCAGTTTAATTTTACTTTGCGACATAAATCAGGAGTCGATAATAAGATACCCGATGCTTTGAGTCAGCAGGTATCCTTGTTGAGCGTGTTGCGAGGTGAAGTTGTTGCTTTTGACTATTTAAAAGAGATTTATGTTGATGATGAAGACTTCCAGGAAGTTTGGGAAAAATGTTTGACAAGACAACCCGCAGAAGATTATGTTATCATGGACGGCTTTCTATTTAAGGGGAATCAGCTTTGTATTCTGAGAATGTCTTTGAGGGAAAAGATAGTTCAAGACTTACATGGTGGTGGACTTGGTGGACACTTTAGGCGAGACAAGACTATCTTGAGTCTTGAGGAGAGATACTATTGGCCGAGTTTGAGGAAGGATGTGGTGACACTTGTGAGGAGTTGTCAAGTGTGCCAAGTTGCCAAGGGACAAGTGCAGAATACTGGTTTGTATACTCCTCTACCCGTGCCTAAGGATATATGGGAAGATTTGAGTATGGACTTTGTGTTGGGACTTCTCCGAACACAAAGAGGCATAGATTCAGTCTTCGTGGTAGTGAATCGTTTTTCTAAGATGGATCACTTCATCCCGTGCCGCAAGACTTCAGATGCACCACATGTTGCACGGCTATTCTTTCAAGAAGTGGTTCAGCAACATGGAGTTACTAGTTCGATTGTTTCGGATAGGGATACTAGGTTCTTGGTGAGTTTTTGGACTACTTTATGGTGATGATTTGACACTTCATTGAAGTATGCTAGTACAACACACCCTCAAACGGATGAAAAACAGAAGTGGTCAATCGAACCTTGGGAAATTTGATTCGATGCATATGTGGAGAGAAGCCAAAGATGTGGGATCAAGCTATCACTCAAGCTGAATTCGCCTACAACTTGACTGTTTATAGTTCCACAGGTATGTCTCCTTTTTCCATTATTTATAGGAAGACACCTCGACATCTCCAAGATTTGTTGAAGTTGCCGACAAGTAGCAAGGTTAGCGAGGCAGCAAGTTCGTTGGCCGAGAATGCTATCAATATTCAGGAAGAAGTGCGTACAAAACTCGAGAAAGCCCACTGCTAAAAATTAGGTAGAATTTCGTCTAGGATGCGTATCCTAGACGGAATTCCGTCTAGAATACCCGTCTAGAAAATTTCCATCTAGGATGTAGTATTCTAGATGAAAATTCCATCTAGAATATATCCTAGACGGAATATTCTAGATGAAATTCAAAACCGTGTAGAATACATCCTAGACGGATTATTCTAGACGGAATTTCCATCTAGAATAATTCATCCTAGATGGAAAAAATTTCCATCTAGAATGAGTATTCTAGACGGAAATTTTCGTCTAGAATACTCATTCTAGACGGAAATTGATGTTTTTATTTTTATTTTTAAAAGGCATCTTAGACGGAATTTTCGTCTAGGATACTATGCTACAATATTTTTTTTACAGAATCTACTTTGGGTGCATGTACACAATATTGAACAACAAAAAATTATATTCATATCCAACACAATCTAATTATATTCCAATATCAAATCCCATTATATTCAAATAATACATTCACCAAAATCGTAGAGAGATACATAAATTGTTTACAAACTTTTACATAAATTATTTACAATGGCTATGACACTGCAGAAGCTTCTTCAACTCCTTTCCTATACATTTACTCAAGCCCTCTTCTTCTCCTTCTTCACCTTCTTGAAAGTACCCTAGAGGAGGGTGAATAGGTTATTGCAAATCTTAATAGATATTAATACCGATTAAAACTTATTAACAAATATATCCTAACAATGTTGATATTAAAATTGATATATGCAAGGATATATAAACAAGAGTAAATAAACACGTGATAGTGCGAAAATGACAAACACAAACACAAGATATGATCACGGAGTTCGGACCTTCCGTCCTACGTCTCCGTTCCCCACTCTCGGGGAGAAATCCACTATCACAACCAGGTTTTTTACGCTCATCCGAATAATGTATATACCTCATAATACGGTTTTCTAGTTCACCGAAAACTTTGCAACTACACACTTGCAATCACACTCTACACCCTCTAAGTGTTGGCCTAGCCCGTGTCCTCTTCCTTAAGTGCTCGGATTTATAACCTCTCTCTAGACTTTACAACCAACGCCACTCCTCTTGGAATTGACCCCGTCTCTCATCAACCACTCCTCTCGGTGTACAAGTGTAATACAATGTGTATCTCACAATGATGCTCAATTACAATAAACTGTTCTTTAATAGGATGAGAACTCAATGAAATCTCAACTCACAAATCACAATCCCACAACCCAATATAAAATGTATGGAATGCTACAAGCTCAAATAGGGTGTGTGTAATGATATGAGTATAAACAAATTCTAACTCAATTAACAAACTAGCAATAAATGATAATATGAAAATCAGCAACAAATTGCTAGAGAAAAGAGTTAGGAAAACTTCTCTATAAATATACTAGAGGATGAAGATGATTGAGGATGAATTCCTCAAATGAAAGAGCAAGCCACCTCTTTGAAAACTCAACTTAGAAACTTAAACAAACTTTTAAACTTCTTTTTAAACTTTTGTTAAAACCCTCTTTTATGGTTATTCAGATGAAAACAATAGGGGTTTACATAGGATGAAAAACCAAGGCACAAAACCCAAGAAAAAAACAACAAAAACAACAAAATATCAAAGACTGGAAATATAGCCGTTGGAGCTTATCAGTCGACTGACAGAATGCATCAATCGACTGATAAGCTGATCGTTACATACATTTTCCAGATCATCAGTCGACTGACGATCTTATTAGTCAACTGATGATCTCATCAGTCTACTGGTCAGTCGACCAAAACACAACAGAAATCAAAATAACATTTGCAGGCACTTTCGTCAGTCGACTGATCGGTCGACTGATGTCATCAGTCGACTGATCAGTCGACTGATAACCAGTTATTAGCCTGAATTGATTTTTGAATGTGAATTTCAAGGCTCTATTAAAAATAGTAAATAAATTCTAAAAAATGTAAAACTTTGGAAAAAGTTTATAATCATAGATATGAGCATGTTGGAAAAAGAAATTTTCAAATTGCTCTTATCATTTGTGAAAACTCAGAAATATTCAAAAGAGTAAAAATACATGTTTTTCAAATATGTTGATTTTGACATTTTGGCTCAAATCAAGTTCTGAAAACTTGTGTAATAGTTTTATGGACATATTAAAAGATGTAAACAAGGTTTGTGAAGTCCAAAACATATTTGAATGTATTTTGCATAAAAACACTTATTTTCATGAAAATTCACAAATGTAATGTGTGTGTATATTTGAGCTTATAGAATTAACACACATAATATAGTCCTATACTAAGTATACCAAGAATGATTCTCTGAAGCTTGGACTTGAATAGATTGACTTGGTAAGCATGGCTTCAATATATCAGTTTTTGCTCAAATTCTTGAATATACCTATATATACTAAACAACACAAAACAAAATACTAAAACCAATATTAGTCGTAAATTGTTTGTTAAATCATTATCAAAACAAGAGGACCCAACACTTCTTCCTCATCATCCTGAGTGTAACATAAGGACACAAGCAATGCATTAATATATGTACAAACTGATCCATAAGGACACAAGCAATGCATATATATAACAGAATCATTAAATCAGCATAGTCGCTGCAGAATTCCCTATCTCGGATGCACAGAAGAGGATAACATTACAGCATAAAAGTTCAAGCACCTTACTTGCACCATTTCTCTGACAAAATTAAAACCTCCTGGTCCAATAACAGATCCAACTAGTAAATAACCAGTGATCACCTACATAATTTTAAAGTATGTTACCCACAATTTTTGCAGAAGAAAATTGGTTATTTTAAAGTTGGTTTTCTTTTTTTATAATAAAGTAAATACCAAAAAGATGCATTTCTAACTATTTTCAACGAAATTCATTTAATTGGGAAATTAATTATCTAGTCCAAGACAGACCGGTTGTCCAGTACAGGTGAAGGCAATGCCGCCACAAGTTGCAGAGACAATGACTGCCACGAGATCGGATATCAACCTGCAAAAAAGGAAAAAAAAAAGATATATATACATCATTCAAAGTTTCAAACAATCAAATACCTTAATGGTAATAGCACGTCCAAAAGATATACCTAAGATCCAACTTTAGTACATGATATTTTGATTTGATATGATGAACACATTATCCTGGAAAAACAAAATTTTGATCAATATGTTAGCTGAGATCTTACAAAATAACAACTAGGTGTGGATTCACATAGCTGCAATAACCTAATATATTAAAGACCACATGTAAGAACCTGAAACAAACTCTTTGCTATCATTTAATTTTTCACTAGTGTGTGTGTAGGAGGAAACTGAAACAAACTCTGATTGACGTAGCATTTCTCCACTTATTCCACTGCGAATAGCAAAACCAAATAAAGGTCAAAGAACAAGAAAACACCAAATTCTTATGTGCCGATTGTATTCAAATTTAATTGTTAGTCACTTAGCTGACTACTTTGAATTCTTTAGACATCTGAGCTCTTATTACGATACTCCTCATCTAATTCCTTTGGGTGAGCGATTGTATTCAAATTCTCATTCTTTTTCTTCCTTCACCAGAAAACAAAAATTCGTAGCTTACATTAAAAGAAAGAAGAAGAGAAGCATCTCAAAGAGACGAAAGAGTAAGTCTTCATGTAGGATTTTTGTTTAAGCCAAGTTAATAGGTAAACAACCTTACTGAAGAAAAGAAATTGTCTTTCAATTCTAATGGACCCCTAGCTACATGATGCACATATTTGCCCCTTTTTTTGACTAAAAAACAAGGGTTAAACCCTGTTCATTAAAACCAAAAGTATGTTTACAAAAAACAAGATACGAATTGTATCCATAGAGATTAGAAATACTTTTGCCCCTAAAATTATAATAACACAAAACTTACAATTGTACAGAAGAAGACAATGTCATACACTTAAATTGACGAGAATCATGTCACCAACCAAGCCACAGGCACAAATACAAGCCCCTGATTCGAAAATTCACATGAGCTTCACAAAATCAAAAAATAGTTTCCCACATAAAATTTCATAATAATAATAATAATCCTTTAAAAATACGTCCAAAGCTTTAATTTAAGTAACTGACTCGAGCCTGAGCTACTAGACCTCTTAAGCCCAACATCGTAAGTCATGGAAAGATCAGGATGAAACAACCCAAATGACCTCTCCGACACCGGCCCTGGCTTCAAATCCTCGTTGTAAAACGCGAAAATGTAAGTATCCACCGATTTCCCGGCATCAGCGGCGTCCCCACCATCGACCGCAAATGCTGCACTAAGTTCCCATTGAATGCCTTCGTGTTGTCGACGCTCACCCCGTTCTCATTGGGGTCGCCTTTGTACGGCCATTACGGGTACGGGCCTCGGATCGTCTCGGTAGGCGAAGTACGGGTATGGGTTTATCATGAACGGCGACCCGGTTTTCTGAAGGAATCCGAAGATTCCTTGAAGAGAAGGGAGCAGCTCCGCGTGGAAAGCGCCGGCGAAGGGCGGCTCCGATGCCGCGAGCACCGCCATCGTGTTGACGGTGGAGGCTTTCACCGGAAGCGAGGCGGAGAGGGCATTTTGGAGATTTTGCATGGCAGGAAGGAGCTGGGAGGAGAGGGAGGGGTCATTGGATTCTAAAACCTCGTTGCCGACGGTTTGGAATGTCTCCGTAAGCGGCGCCGATGACGACGGAGATGTTGGTGCCGGCGAGGGATTTGAGGATGGCGGGGTCGGCGCCGTAGAGGCGGAGCTTTGAGATCGAGGTCGAGAGGAGGAGCTTCGCGGTCGCCTCCGGTGGCGGGAGATTGTCGGCGACCTGGCCTTGGAGGGAGAGGGAGTAGAGGGGGAGGGAGGGGCCGGGGTGTGAGGTTGAGGATTTGGGGGGATGAGGCTGGTTTTGGGATAAAAAATTTCATTTTGGGGGGAAAGGAGGGCGGTTAATTTTTTGACGGGTTAATTTTTTTTAAAATGACCAGTTATTCTAGATGGAAATTTCCGTCTAGAATGATTATCCTAGACTAAAATTTCCGTCTAGAATACCTGGTTATTTTTAAAAAAATAAAAAATAAAGGAACCGTCTGGGATACTATTCTAGACGGAATTTTTCGTCTAGAATGTTTTATTCTAGACGGAAAATTTCTATCTAGTTTAATACATTCTAGACGGAAAAAATTCCGTCTAGAATATTCCGTCTAGAATACATGATTTTCTACTAGTGGCCAATGCAAAATTCAAGGCGCGAGCAGACAAGAAGAGGTGATTCAAGGTGTTCAATGAAGGAGACATGGTGATGGTTTACTTGCGAAAAGAACGGATGTCGGCTGGAACTTATAGCAAGCTTAAGCCGAAATGATATGGTCCCTTCAAGATTCTTAAGAAGATCAATGATAATGCATATGTAGTGGATCTTCTGAAGGAATGGCTATATCGGCGACATTCAACATGGTGGATATTTCTGACTATCATCCTTCAATCGAGTTGTATTCAAGTGATGCAAACTCAGAGACGAGTTCTTTCGAAGAAGGATGGACTGATACAGGAGATCTATAAGACGCGACGCGACGACTCGAAACAGATGAGTCGATAACAAACCAGACAAGACAAGACTCGACGACTTAAACCAGACGAGTTGACGACAAACCAGATGAGACGAGACCCCGAGACTTCAAGACCCAGTCGAAAGGACCCGAGACCCCGAGACTCTGAGACCCCAGTCGACAGGACGAGATCCCAGCCGAGACCCCAGTCGACAGGACGATACGACACGCCCCAGTCGACACGAAGGGCGGTGTTAGTCAACACCTGCTAGTCGATACATCCCAGTCGACACATATGGAGCCAGTCGACACATGTTAGTCGGCTCATGTCCACTCGACACGAAAGGCGTTACTACTCGCTACGCCTCGTGTCAACTCGGATTTCAGATTAGGAAAGAGTTCCTTTTTTTGATTGTTTCCTTTTGGGATTTGGTGTTTTCCTTTAGACTTAGAGTTTCTTTTTTATTAGAGTTAGGATAGATTTAGTTGGCTATAAATATTAATTCCTTTTGTAAATTGTAAAATCAACTTTTTAATTATTCAATCAAGAGAATTTTTCTTCTTGTTTTCGTTCTCAATTTTGAGAAACTTAGAGCTTGTGGATTCAAGCTTGTTAATTACCTGCTATTATCAGCGCTCGTCGGCATCGGAACGATATCCGACCGGCCTCCTCGTTTCTACGTCTACGCCATGTAACCTCATTTTGAAGATCCAAAAATGCCCTAAAAGGTTATAATACTTCAGAATCATTGTGAAGAGAAAACATGGAAATAAATATATAAATAAACAACCCCTACAAACTCCCTCAAGATTTCCACTTCCTCCCCACGTTCACGCAACTTGATCCTTTACAACCTTCGACTCCCTTAACAACGTTCAGTTAAATTTCCGGACATTTTGTTCTCATGCATCGTGTGCACAGGAGTACCAGTAGGGGTTGATGGTTAAACTGTATAATATAGTAAATTTTTTTGGACGTATGCACGTATCGTGTGTACGGGAGTACCAGCACCTGTTGATGGTTAAACAGTATGATATAGTAAAGGACAAATTTTCAAATTCGACCTATTTAGAAAAATAATTGCAAAAATTAATCCGTTTTGAATTTAATTACCAAATTCGATCTAGTTTTAGCCAACTGGCTGAAACTGGGTCGAATTTGAAAAAAAAACTTACGAAACTTCACGGGACATCAAGTCCAGTGAAGTTTAAGCGGGTTGTTATTTATGAAATTAAGGTGATTCAGAGGACCAAAACATTACGGGACTTCAAGTCTCGTAAAGTTTCGTAAGTTTTTTTTTTCAAATTCGACCCAGTTTCAACCAGTTGGCTGAAACTGAGTCGAATTTGGTAATTAAATTCAAAACAGGTCGATTTTTGCAATTATTTTTCTAAATAGGTCGAATTTGAAATTTTGTCCTATAGTAAAAATTGGATAAAACTTAAGATATTTCAGAGTCTAATTTAGAAATATGATGGTTTGGGTCTAATAGAAATATGATGGTTTGGGTCTAACGTACAAGAAAGTGCCTAACTACAATCACAAAATTAAACACTTGCCCAAAATGAACACGGGAACGGTTGGGTTAGGTTTGGGTTTAGGATTGGGTTAGTTGTTTGGGTAAGTGACGCTCCGAAGACCGACAAGCTAACAAAGCGTCCGACAACAAAACCCGAGACTAAACAAAAGTAAAACAATGCCAACGCAAATGCACTGTCTTGACTCTTGAGCTTATACCCCCAATTTCGGAAGTGCCCTTTGCTTCTCTACGTTCTTGCTGAAATGGGCAAGCCCAAGCTCATATCAATGGCGACCCCTTCTTTCTTCAAGGTCATGCTCGCCGATTTCAGAACCAAATTGGTACGACCCCATCTCCTCATCAAATTTATTTCTCTCTGATTCTCTTTTTTTAAAACTGTTTCTGATTTTTGTTCCAGCGGATTCCACCTTGTTTCAAGAGACACCTTGGAGACTCAATCGTGCAGAGGTCAGTGCTTCGGAACTCGATGGGTCGGAAGTGGGAGATAAAAGTGGGCATTGTTGATGATCAGGTTTTGCTCCAAGATGGATGGGGGCGTTTCATATCGGATAATTCGATTAATTCAGGAGATTTCTTGGTTTTCTTTTATGACGGCGATATGGGTTTTGATGTTAAGATCTATGGGGCGACATGCTGCGAGAAAAGAGAGGGCAGTGAAGTGAAGATTGAAGCAGAATCAGAAGAAGGTTCTATCGATAAGAGCTCAACGATGAAAGCTAGTAGGAAGAAGGAAAGAGAGAGCAGAAGAAGCAGGCCGAAAAAGAGAAGTGAGTGATTTGTGATGATTGTTATGGTTATGAACTGCGTATATTGCAGATAACTCGTTTGTTAGCAGTTATACCTCTTATGTCTGGAATTTTGGGAAGAGTAAGTAAAACACAACTCATCTCTTTCCCATGAATAGAGCTTATAAGTGCTAATAAACGAGTTGATGGGAGCGATACGTGCTATTGAAGGTATAGATGAAGGGGTTATCTGAAATTTACACTTAAACAATTTGTGGAAAGTGTTCATTTGGTGATGATATGGGTTCTCTTATTGTGTTGGTTGCAGATATGTGCTTTAAGATTCTTAGAGGGGTGAAGGCATGTGAAAAGGCTTTGGAAGCTGCTTGTGCCTTCAAGAGCTCTCATCCTCACTTTGTTACTACTTGCAGGAGGTCGCCTAGCTTGGGCATGGTCTGTGGACTTATTCCTTAATTTCTTTTGTCCGTATTTGCTAAATTGTTTAACTTCTTTCTGTTTGTGAGTTTCATCTCTTGTTGATAGCTGCATTAGACTCGAAGGTTCTTGTCACTACACCAAAATTCTAAAGTTCTAGTGAGGATTGAGTGTGATGAAATTTTTTGACATGCACCCCCTGGCAAGTTAATCACTCTTTTATGGGCCAAAATTTGGACTCACAGAGTGATATCCTTTTCTTAATCCGCTTTAAATTCATGGTTAGTAAGAATCAAACCTAGATTACGCTGTTACCATGTCAATGGTTCCTTCCTTTCCGCCTAAACTCTCGGTACCAGAGAAATATTATTGATCCTAAGAGATCTTCTTCTTTCTTAACCTCGTTTTTACCGAGGAGAGATTGGCTACAAAAGTCATCATTCTGCTTCCACTTGGAGGCTTTGACATCAAAGACGATTTCACTTTCTCTTCTAGCTTCAATGTAGTGCAACCATTTTCAAGCAACCATTTTCATCTCTCGCGTGCGGCATGGCCTTGTCGACATTATCAGTGTTGGAGTTGTAACTTCAATAGATATGAATAAAGAAGTCCTAGTGCAGCCGTGGACGTAATCATATTGCCAAACCACATAAATCCCTGCCTTCTGTGATTGCTTGTTCTGCTTTTAATATTCTCTCTCATGCTTGCTGGTAGATCCCATTCCTAAAAACTGACGTCTCCTCTGATCAACCTTGGTTTTCTTCAATTTCGACACCTTTTTGGTACAACTCAAGTTTTTAAAATTGCACAACATGATCTTGTATCTCTCAAGCACAACTTCTTTTCTCTTGACATCACTTGTGAAGCCCCTTTTTCTTGTTATCGCTTGTGAAGTTTTTTTCAAAGTCAATAATGAAATTTCGTTTGTTCTTGATATTGCTAATGAACTTTCTTTTTTTTCTTGGTGCCACTTGTGAAGCTCCCTTTTCTCGTTGTCGCCTGTAATGTTTCTTTTTCCTTTTTCTTGTTGTTGCTAGTGATGTTTCTTTTTCTCAGACTTGTTCTCGCCACTACAATTTCGTCACTGGTTTTTGATATGATAGTAATACAATGATATTCAACTCTTTTCGGGACAAGCTGGGTTCGCTAATCTTTTCGGTCGATGCACAGATAGAAGGGGAGAATTAGAAGATGTTCTATCACCTTGTTTTTTATTGATAGAAGAGTGCACATTCAACTCTCTATCATATGTTTCCTTTTTGTGTTAGAGTTTCATAAATATTATATAAGGTGTACAAGTATGAGCTACTACCGTCTTCTTCATAAAAAAAGAGAAAAGATCAAATTCTTTTTCTTTCTTTGATTTTCAACACTTACCAGATACTTCACTCAGATCAACTGTCACAGTAGTGACCTATAGTTTCAGCCAATTTTATACATCTACCCTATATAGTTGATTCATGGAGTGATATTGTTTCATCTATTACTAGTGAAATAAATATCGTTAGTAACTTACTATAAGATACTCGTTGTTTTTGGCTGTCAGCGAATTCCTGCAGAACTAGCTAAGATATATAATCTTAAGGTGAAGAACTCAATAGTCCTCGTGGATCCTCGTGGTACTTCATGGTCCGTAAAAATATCTACCTGGGGTAGTGGGCGTCAATGTCTGACATCGGGTTGGAACAGTTTATACAAGAAAAACCGATTAAAAGAAGGAGATGCTTGTGTATTTGAGTTTGTCCACGGAGGCGCAGTGGTAAACGTTCACATCTTTCGAGCTCCAGAATATAGAGCAAAATTAATTTCAAAATCAGGTTAGCAGCTCTTCTAACTTTAACTTTCCGTTGCAGTGAGACTGGTTTTTTATATTATTTTTTGCTCCTTTGGACATTTTAGCTAAAGCATTGTCGGGGTTATGTCCGTTGATGATGGAATACAGCTACTTATTTGTTATACTATACAAAGTTGCCAATGCTTTATGTGCACATACTTATGTGATTTGTTTGCTGACACGCCTGCATTTATGGATATGATAACTTATCTTGTTTAGAAGCCTCAGCATATAAATGCATTTATTTTTGCTTAGAGTGGGCTGCTTAGCATTAGTGCCAAACAGACGAGAGCTGTTAAAAATTGGTTAAGGACCAAATACTTAGGGTGGGTAGCTTAATGTCTCATAAGTATTCGACAACAGTGGTGTTGTGCCAAAAGCTGTGTCGAGAAACCAAACCAAACGCCAATCCAAGAGAGCCAAACGAACTAAATAGTCGAGAAACCAAACCAAACGCCAATCCAAGAGAGCCAAACGAACTAAATATCAATGCACAAACAAAACACCAATTTAGCCAAACGAACTAAATATCAATGCACAAACAAAACACCAATTTTAACGTGGTTCGGCAAGTTGCCTACATCCACGGGGCAAAAAAGGGGATGGGATTTTCACTAATAGAGAAAGAGTACAAACTGAGATTACAACTCACTCGAAGGAACAAACTAATCTCACCAACAAGTTCTTAATCTCTCCAAACAAAACCCTAAACAAATAGCTCAGAAAATACATCTTTTCTGTGCTCCAAATATCCCCAATTTGCTTCTCTAAATTCTCTCTTCCAATTGTTCCATATATATAGAAATCCTAAAATCATAAACATACTAGGAATTCTAAACCAAAAGCCAAATCAAATTAGGAATCCTAATAATCTATTATCAAAATAGATTAGGAATCCTAATAACCTCATGTTACCAAAATAGATTAGGAATCCGCTATCCAACAAGTGACTGGAGCCTCATTCTTTGGGGTTCCATCTTTGTTCTCTAAAATAAAAAAAAGAGAGAATTCGACAACAGTGTACTTACACGGGGACAATATGAAATCTCCTGTTATATGATCTATCAAAAAAAGCATTATGATTTATTTAGATTGTGTGATGCACTATTGGGTGTGAAATATTAGTTTAATATCAATGCCTCCTATTGGAACAATCTAAGGTTTTTCTCCTCAAAGTCTATTGGTATCATCTAAATCCAAATATACATGATATGTGTTTCTCCATTCGAAATATTATTCTCTGTTTGCTTATGAATACACATATGCATATGAACACAATGAACGGTTATTGTTGGCAATCTTGATGGCCTCCTACATATTTGTCCATTTTGGATCTCAGTAGTCATTTCGTTTCTCATACTTCATAATTTTTTTAGCAGATCAGAGTACTTTTGGAGTCCTGAAGTGCCAAGAAACATCAAACTGTTGGCATGCTGCAAAATCAATGGATTCATATAATATTAAGAGCAAGAAACTGCTACTTTCATCTTTTTCCAAAAATATTGACCATTCTTTTATTTTTACTTTTTTTTTTGCATATATCAATGACCTTTTTACTATCATTGATGCAGGCGAAATATTTCTGAGAGTAGATGATATGAAAAAGGTTCAGCATGCTGAAAATTCAATGGATTCAGATAACAATAAGAGTAAGGAATTGCTATTCCCATATTTCCCTAAAAAATGACTATTCTTTTATTTTTATTTTTATTTTTATCTTTTCTATATGTTGGTGACTTTCTTAGCATCATTGATGCAGGCGAAAGATTTCTTAGTGTAGATGATACGAAAAAGGCTCCAAATGAAGCCAAATCCTTTAAATCAACCCACCCAACTTTTGTTACTGTTTGGAGGCCGTCTCGTTTACATCGTGTGGTTGGTTACTTTTTCTTTACCTGCTTCTATTTCAATCTTGGAAAATACTTAAAATGCATTGCTCTGGTCATACTAAACTCTGGAAGCAATGATGAAATACAGATTTATCTAGGTTAAGAAACACCTCTTGCATTTGAAGGGAAAAAATTGGGTAAATTTCACAAAACTACCCTTAAGTTTGGATTTTTTCCAGATAACCCCCTTGGCTATTCTAATAGGCACAAACGGAAACCCCCATTAACTTCTAGGTTTTTTTTCTCATCACCCCTTGAACTTGTTCTATGCCACTAAACTCTCAAAGATCGTTCACTTTAACCCCCTAAATTAACACCCACAAATTTAACTTGTGATGTCCCAGCACATGACAGAAGAAGGGCAAAAATATCGCTCAGACCTAAAAGAATTTGAAAAAAAATAAAAAAGAATAACAGAGTGTTTTTTTTTTTTGAGCGCTTATAGGTATTTTATCTTAGTTGGTCATGTGCTTGACACATGACATGTTAGACTTCATGATGTTATTTTGGGCAATTAAAGAGAAAAATCTTTAATGAGTTTAGTGCAATAGAAGAAGTTCAGCGATTTATATGAAAAACCCTCAGAGCTAAGGAGATTTTTTTACTTATTAAAATAGTTAAGGAGGTTGTCTAAAAAATAGCCAACCTTAAGTTGGTTTTATTAAATTTACCCAAAACAATTATCCAGTTTATTAAATGATTGAAAAGTACTTCAATTAAACTGCATTTTATTTATCAATACCTATTATTTTAACATTTCTTGCTTAATTTCTCCTAATTTCTGCACAATGACATTAATTCCAGTACATTCCAAAGAAAGTAACGCAAGAACTTGGCTTGGTGAAAGATCAACAAACAACTCTAATCGATCCTTCAGGGAAATCTTGGCGCGCATACATCAGAGTTCGAAGTTACGGGCATGTAGAATTGAGGGGTGGATGGTGCCGCTTCTCAAGAGGAAACAACTTGGCCTTGGGCGATGTATGCATATTTGAGTTCTTTGGAGGAGCTGAGTACATAAAAGTACACATTTTTCGTACATGAGAAATACACACCTCTAATTAGTCTCGATCTGGTCTGCAATTATGTCAATATTGGTCTTGTTTTGTAGAAGTTTGGGAAGTGATAAACTCACTAGCTTATCAAGTTTAAGCCAAGAACTTTGGTGTTTATCTTGTTCTATGAAACCATGAAGGCAGTTTTATCATAATGATGGTTGTGCATATGTATTGCTATGAGAGAGAGCTAATATGACAATACCTTCAGTGATATAGTTCCATACAGTATTATATGTCGAACTAACTCGATAACTTATCAGAACTTGAAACGTAAAGTTCCCTTCTTGCATGGAGAGATATCGATGCCTACTGGGGGTACACATTTATCTTTCTTTCTTTTCTTTTGCTTTTTTTTTTGAGTAAAAAAAGGGGAATAGAGCCCTGTTCGTATTCATATATAAAAAGAAGTTGCAGAGAGTATATACATCAAAAGGAGTTATCTCAAAGAATAGGAAGTCAAAATGCAAGAAAAAGCCACCATACATGATTTAAGAAAACAAATTTAGACGGAATTTAGACTTCAATGAGAGAACTCAAAATGCAAGAAAAAGCCGCCATACATAATTTACAAAGACGCATTTATCTAACTTATACGTTACTATTATTTAAAAACTTATCTGTTACTATTATTTAAAGGAAAAGCCTTATTTGTAGCAGCAGAGGAAAATACTTAGATCATTAAAACATATGCGCCCATCATCGAATCAACATGCTTCATTCTTGTAACTTTCTTTTTAAAGATATGTCAGTTGTAGTTGGTTTTCCATAATCACAAACTGCAAATTACATTTTTGGCAATTGACAATAAAATGTAAAAAAATATCATTAGACTTATTTTAAATAATAATATTAGACTTATTTTAAATAATAAGAAGAAGAAATGAAACAAGTTTCAACTATCACATTTATAAAATAATCGCAGAAGTACATGAACAAATTAAGAAAACAAATTTCACATATTTAGTTCTTAGCATAAAACTTCATGAAATTTGGTAGAAACCATATTTCATAATTCCATCCAAATTATAAGAACACATGAAATATAAACATCATTTCATAATTCTACCATCAAACGTAAAACTACATGAAAATTTGGGGTGCTAGTTTCAAGTAAAACTACATGAAAAATCCATATATCTTTAAGGCAATTTGATAAAAAGCTGGACGAGGCCATGATCATCTCTGCCCCTGGCTTCACTAATGCTTATTTTGTTCCTAGGGCATAACTAAGTTATCTCCACTTGGTAAAAATGTGTATTATGCAATGAAAATCATGTACGTTGGGGATATATTACACATGCTAGGAATCACGACATATAACATAGGTAGAAATATGAATATCATTTTTTTAATCAAAATTACATAATAATAGAAGAACACTTGAAATGTTTTCCTAATCCTTTATGAACATTTTCTAAAGATCTTCAGAAGATAGCTTTCTTAAGTGAAAAAAACCCCAGTGTGATCTACCCATCATGGAGAGGATGCACTACTAGATTGATAGGACCTCTAAATTATAGTTTTCTATGTTTTTTGTGTTTTTCTATGTATCCATATGACCACATGGATCTTTCTTATATAGGTTTAGGTCATCTATCATGTTAACAATTTTAAGTGATTTAGAACTCTTTCAAAAATTCAATCCATAATAGTTATAGTTAAGATAGAATTGCATTGTAGCTAAACCTCTCTCAAAATTATTTTAGTGAGATTGGGTCCCATATCGAGAACCAATTAGTAATCAAATTAATTCTTAATTAAAATTTATTAATAATTATAATTGAACAATTAAATTCCTATCCGAACAAATGTTCATCAAAGCTCTTTTATACTATGAGATTAAAATTTTAATTATACTATTTCTTACATTCAGTCTCTGGCAGTATCAATTAATTTTTCTTTTAGACAAATTAATGAGTAGAGCAATTCACATATTTTCTTGTATAACTCCCATGAACAAAGAATCATTTAAAAAATATTAATAATATTATAATAAATAGGTTTTAATAAATAGATTTTAAATAAATATTATAACTTCATGGGACTGCTTAGTAAATTATTCTCTTCATAATTAGAATATTGGATCCTATCTAAATATCTATTATTTCTCTAAATAAAATGTAGTAACCCGATATTTTTGGTTTTGTGGCACTTGTTATATATATATATAAGTTTAATCATCACATCAAAGTATATTAGATTGTCAAAATTAAAAATGACAATATCATTAAGTCAGAGGGACCACATAACAAATTGAATTCTCCATCTCCTAGGTGATAGTTCTAGAGAATTCAAATATGGTCTAGTACTACATACATTACAATGTGTGGTCATGACATTCACGCGGAGAGTCTCCAATCCTCATGGCTGAGAACAATGAATACATCACTTGTCTTGCAAGATAGCATGTAATAACATAGTATCTGATAGTAGTTATAGATTACGTACAATTTTAAGAAATCTCTAAATTAGATCTTATCTCTGTGCAAGTAACCCATCACAGTGCATGATCTAATCAAATAATTTCTAAGAATAACATAATCTTTATGTATGTAATACCTAAATAGTATGCGCAATAATAAAATCTACATTAATATCATATAATGTTACATAAATTGTATCGGATATGTATGGACATATTATACTACTTTAGCAACAGATTCAACAAGTGATCACAAAATTTAATAGTTTCCTCGCAATACGACAAAAGAGGCTCTTTATGCATGAGTTAGACTATTCCCAATAGATGATGCACTATGTTTGATCACAATCTATGTATTTAAACATATAAAACCAAAAATCATGATATTTCTATAATTGTGTTCATCATCTCTTTAGTCGTATTGTTGTAAAATCGTTAATTTTACAAGCAATTGATGCATATAACTCAATGTTGTTCGATCTGAGTTGCATGCCTAGGGGGTGAATAGAATTGCTATCATTTTTTACTAAAAATATAGAATATGCAGTGGAATATATAAAATGAAAATGATAAATGATATAAAGCAAAACAACTATCACCAAAAATAACTAGCTAAAAACACATGCGATTTTATAGTGGTTCGGATAACAATCTTATGTTCACTCTTTCTTCTCATAAAGAGGCTTTCTTACTATGCAAAGAGTTCACCATATTATAAAATTGATTTAGTAGGCTTAAAGACTGAAACCCTAGGTCTTCCATATCAGACATTTAACCTAACTTTCTACCATGACCCTAGCTAGTCTCAACCCTTAATTCAACCAACTTGAGTACACTGTAAAAAAAATTCAAAGTAAAACCAGACACAAAAAAATTAAGCTCAGAATAAAAGAACAATCTTATAGTCCTTTCAATAAAATAAAATGTTCCTTGAAGGATATAAGTGAAGCTTGATGAAGGACAGTGAAGAGGATTAATCCAAGGACAACTCTCCTCGATGAAATGATCCGAAGATGTTTTGCGTGTCGATTAAGAGTTGACGAGACTCCAGGGAATCAAAACTTTCAACTTGATCTCTCAAATATCAAACCCCAGAACTTCTCCTCCTCCTCTCTCTCTCTCTCTCTCTCTATGTGTGTGTGTGTGTGTGTGTGTGTGTGTATCTCCCCCTCCTCTCTCTATGTTATAATCATCCAATTAGGTTAGGAAAGAGACATCCTAAGCATGGTAGAAGTTGGAGATATTCTGAATAATGAATGGTTGTGATTAGATCTAAAAATCAGCAATCAGCTGACTTTACCATCAATGATGCCTCTTAACCATCGATGCATGGTGTCGTGAAACTAATTATGATTGACAAGCTAATTGATTATATTCATGTCTCTAGACTTTTGCACCATCGATATGTTATAGTACCATCAACAGTCACTACTCACCATCTATTGTCAATGACCTACCATCGATGGTAGTTATGCTAAATCAGCTTTTGCGCTGATTTTTGCATTATTTCGCCTCATACACATCCCATATCTATATTCACCTGTATTATAAAATCTCAAACCAATATTAGTGCCAAATGAAAGTTTGTTATTACTTAAATAAGAGATGTTGTACAGATTATGTCCTAACAATCTTCCCCTTTTTATAATAATAAACTTGAAATTAAAATACCAAAATACATGCATATTTGGGATATATATATAGCAAAAATAATCACAAATGATATGCATTTCTCCCCCTATATTCCTGCATTTATGACAAGTGTAAACAAGCACAGATATTGTAAAGCTCTCCTTAAGACAATGCATTGCATATTAAAAAAAAAAAAAATCAAAACATGATACCACTTGGTCAAAAATTTCACTCATGCAAAAACTCATCAAATTTCACCAAATTCTACCCCTTTTATTATCAACAAAAGTGAAAACTACACCAATGGATATACTTGATACAAGATAAATTTAGATAAAAATCATCTAAAAGGTGTGAAAGTACCCTAGGGGGTGAATAGAGTATTTGCTAATCTAATCCGATATTGATGCCAAATTAAAACTTATTAAATAATTATCCTAACAATATGATATGTCAAGTAATATATGCAAGGATGTATAAATAAACAAAGGACGGTATAAACGTGAGACAAAAGGTATTATGAAAGTATAAAAGAGAAAGAGGCACCAATGCGAAACTCAAATACAAACAAATGATCACAGAGTTCGGCTGACCCACGACCTACGTCTCCACTCCTTACCCTCGAGGAGAATCTCCGCTATATCACAAAAATACTACACAATCAGTTTTCAACACTCATTGATAAATATTTACAATTCACACGATTGCAATCACACAAAACACCCTCTAAGTGTTGGCCTAGCTCGTGTCACCTTCCTCAAGTGCTCAGAATTACGACATCTCTCTAGAATTTATAACCGACACCACTCCTCTTGGAATTGATGCCGTCTCTCACCAACTACTTCTCTCGGTGTCCTTGTATATTACAACGCGTTCTTAACAATGAAAGCGTAAATACAAGATTTGTTCTCTAACACAAAGATGAGAACTCAATTAAGCCCACTCTCAATGTTACAACCTCACAACCCAATAATTATACTATATGTGAAAATACTTAAGCTCAAGGGATGTGTGTGTAAACAATGAGTATAAATAAAATCAAACTCAAAGTAATCTAGCAAGAATGTATGATAATAATAGTTTTCTAGAAGAAATGAG